CGCGCGAGCAAAAGGGAAAAAGGCCGGCCGGGCCCCGGGGGGGGGGGGGCGGGCGGCGGGGAAGGGAAAGAAGCAAGAGCCCACGCACTTGGTCATGGTGTGGAAGGACCGCCGGTTGCACGCGTCCCCGGCGAACTCCTTGGAGCAGATGCACATGTCTGCGGCCTGCACGCGCAGGGGCACCTGACCGAGGGCGCATGACGCGCCGCGGCCGGGGGGGGCGGGGAAACCGCCAGGGTCGGGAGGTACTTCCGGTTAATGCATGTGCACGGGCGCGCGCGGCGCCGAGTTTAGGTGCCCTCGCCTCCCCCCCCCCCTTCGCGTGTGATGATATACACGCTCCAGGGCGGGAGGAGAGGCCTGCGGGGAGCTCTCTCGCGCGAAAGGAGAGCAAGGGCCCGCACAAGCGAGCGGCAAAGAGCAGGGCCTCTATGCCGGCGCGAAGCCCCGGCAAAGGTGCCGGCGAAGAAGCGAGGGAGGGCGGGGCCCGGCCGGGCCGCCGGGCGCGCGCGCGCACACGTACCTCACTGCGGTAAGACTCCCGGCTGCAGATGCCGTTGCCATTGCAGTCGGTCTCAGCCACGCAGGCCGGCGTGGTCTGCGAGTTGATGAGGACCTTGAAGGTCTGGTAGTAGGGCTGTTTCGGCCGGCGGGAGAGGCGCGCGTGCCCGTTCCCCCCGGGGTGCAGGGAAGACGGACCGTGTCGGGGCACAGGCACGGACACAGGCGCACGCACACATGCACGCATGAATGCCAGTGCGCAGAGGCCGGCCCCAGTGGGACTTCCGGGGGTCAGTACACACACACACACACATCCCTCGGTAGAGCAGGCGGGCATTTGTTGGTGGTCGGCGCGCGCCACCGCCACCGCCGCCGCCGCCGCCGCCGCCGCCGACAATGGCCAAAGAGCGGAGGAAATGCCCCCGCCCCGGGGCCGGAGAAAGGGGCCCCACACAGCACGCACCTGCTTCAGCGAGACCACATAGCGGTACGGCTCGCCGGCGGTCGGCACCTCGAAGCGGATGGCCACCTGGCGCTGGGGCTGGAGCTTGGTGCCCAGGCCGTCGACCAGGACCTTCGGCTCGGTCAGATTGTCGATGTCCTCCCAGGACTCCGACTTGGGGGAGAACTTCTGCAAGCGGATGCTCAGCATTTCCGGCAGGATGTCCTCCTCGCGCCAGGTGAGCCAGGCCTTGAGCGGCCCCGCTCCCGGCGGGTAGAAGGTCGGCGTCCGGCCGCTGGTCCGGGGGATCAGGTCAATGAGGAAGGCGTCGCAGAAGCCGTCGCACGGCGAGGCCTGGATCAGGGAGTAGGCCGCGGGCTTGGTGGTGCCGCCGTTCTCGGCCGACTCGGTGACCCCGGTGATCTTGGTCTGGGCCAGGATCAGGGCCTTGGTTTCGTCGGGCGTCAGGAGGGGGTTCTGCTCGAGGAGCATGGCCGCGATGCCGGCCACATGGGGGGCCGCCACACTGGGTGCGCCCCATGGCCATCGCGCGGCGCGGAACGGCGTGCCACAGCATGTGAGTCGGCGGTCATATGGGGAAAAAAAAAAAGGACGGGCACTGTGCCTGCACCGGAGCACCGGCAGTGCTGGCACACGGCACAGGCCCGGCGGGAGGCGGCCGCTCTTTGTGGAGCGAGGGGGGGGGGGGGAGCGACAGGTCGACAGACGCCTCCCCCGGCCCCCGGCCCCTTGGCCGGGCGCACGCACCTGGTTCCGGACTTGTAGCCGACCATCGCATTGCGGGCGTCCTTCTTCGACACCAGTGGGTTGATGGCGCTCGTCTGGATGAACATCTCCTGGTCATGGGTGCCGGACACGGCGCTGCGAATGCGATTCCCCGGCGCATAGATGTCGATGCACTCGCCGTAGTTGCTGAAGGAGCTGGGGACGCCGTTCGAGTCGTGGGCTGGGGCCGACCCCGGGACCGGGACCGGGAGCGGGAGCGGGGGGGAGGGGGGGCGAAAAAACGAGAGCCACGTGTGTGAGGGGGCCTTGGCGCGCACGCAAGCCGGGCAATGGTGATCCCCTCTCGGGGCGCGGCATGGAGGCGGGGGGAGGGGGGGACCCACCGGCGGGCAGGCCCGAGCACGGGCCCCCCGGCGGCATACGTACCACCCACCGAGATGACGAACTTCGACTTGCCCGGGGCATAGGAGCATGCATTGTCGGCCTCATTGCCAGCGGCGGCCACCAGCACCACCCCGCGCTTATGGGCGTATCTGTGTGTGTGTGTGTGTGTGTGCGGGCACGCGCGAGACCGGAGACAATATGGTGCCCGGGCCGGGGCGAGGAGAGCAGCGGCGGGATGGCCGAGAATGGCAGCATGTGCACAGGATGGCGGTCAGTGGTGCTCCTTCCTGCCAACTGGGCGGGGGAGGGGCGAGAGAGAGAGAGAGGGACACAGCGAGAGACACGCGCAGAAGCTCCGGCATGGGGCCCGGCGAGGAGGGCGCAAAAGGGACCCCCATGCGGGGGGACACCCTGCATGGCACGCACTCGAGGGCCTTCTCCAGGGCCGCGCTGGCCACGGTCCCACCGAGGGACATGACCGCCACCTTGGGGAAGAAGGGGCTGTCCGCCACGTCGTAGATGCCGGTGATCAGGTCGAACATGGTGCCATTGCCGTCGTCGCCAAGGACTGCATGCATCGGGGGGAGGGGGGAGGGGGGGAGGGGCGAGGATGGGCCAGCGAGCAGCCGGGAAAGACGGCGCATGGCGACGTAGGCAAGGGCGGGATATAGGGGGACGGCGGCGGCGGCGGCGGCCACAGAGGTAGGTCCGGGCACCGGGGCACCGAGACACACAGGGAGCGCAGCGCGAAGCGGGTTACCCCGCCGGCGCGGTTGCCGGTCAGACATCGAGAACCAAGTACCGGCGCGGCCATGGGCCACGGCGAAAGAGGGCCACCCCCCCCCCCTCCCCCGCCCCCCGGAGAAGGCAGCCGCGCGCCGGTGCGCACCCTTGATGGAGAAGATATTGGCCTCCTTGGCCACGCCGAAGGTCTTGCCGCCGACGATGCCGCCCACATGCGTGCCATGGCCGTTGCAGTCGGCGCAGTCGCTGCCGGCATACGACTCGTACAGCTGGGCGCGGCCCTCGAACTCCAGGTGGTTGACCCACAGGCCGGTGTCCAGAACGAAGACCGTCACATTGCGCCCGGTGAAGTTGTACTGGTACGAGCCGGAGAAGATGCCGAAGTTGTCCTGCATATCGCCCCCGCCGGCGCGTGTGCACATGGGGAAGCGCGGGGGCACACGCGCGCGACCCGAGGGAGACCATGGATCCCAGGCATTAGCACAGTGCGCACACACTCTCACACGGGCCCACGGGCACACGGGCACACGGGCACACGGGCACACGGGCACACGGGCACACGGGCACACGGGCACACACGGACACATATACACACACACACACACACACACACACACACACACACACACACACACACACACAGGTACCGAGCGGCGCACCTTCGACAGGCTGTCCAGGTTCAGCTGGTTCGGCTCCAGCGCCTGCTGACCAACCGTGGCCTTCGAGCCTTCCTCATTCAGGGCATAGATCCGGGCCTCCTCCTGGAGGGCGGCCGACAGCGAAAGCCCACGCACCGGGCCCGTGCCACCGGCGCCAGTCGGGACCCAGCAAAGCGGGACGATGTCAGCACACGGCGCGCCAGGGCAAGTTGGCCAGGGCAGGCCCC